CAGGCGATAAGGTACAATGGACATAATTTACATAACTGAAGACACACGAATGGCACAAAACTGGAAGCGTGGCACAGAACACTACATCATTTTGGTCACCCCCTGCACAGAAGATGAGCACGGTGGCGTCTTATGCTACATGACAGTGGTTCGCTTTCAGGAACTGGTCGAAACTATGAAAGGTTTTTCGTATTCTGACAAACTTATCATATAGGCATGTTATGTACCTATTTTTTGCGATGCTGCAAAGATAATGTCTCACTGAACTCGGTCAGACTTAGAGCTCTGCTAGTGTTCTGCCTCCCAAGAGTTTTGCATGTGGAAACCTGCTCAGAGATTTTCACGGTACAGAGGAATGGTGACTAGACAAGCTACAACGACGGCTGTTTGTATGACGGAAACATTAGGGAATTCTCATACTACCACCATCGTATGTCGTGGAGTTGTAGAAACATTAAACCAAAGCGACAAATGTTTGTGGATATTGAAATCGGTAGTTAAATGTGTCTAGCAGGATATTATGCACCAATCTTGAAAACATTTTTAGTAAAAGAAACATTCTGAAAAACTGTGATTCCTGGTACAAAGGCGTTAAATGGCCTTTGTGAGATGAATCGTTAATCTCGTGCTTCTCCACAAGGTCCGGAGTTCAGATGTCTGTGAGAGAGGAAGTCTTGGTAGTTTGCAACCGCTGGTTCTTCAGATTAAGTAGTCACAGCGAATATGATCTGGGCAGGTGTCGCGAATGCTATTAGAAGGGAACGGGCGAAACAGCTAATTATTGTCTAACCGATCGGCCGAAGACCCCGGGAACAACCAAAAATTTTCAGGACACCTGTCCCGAAGGGCTTTGACTCAATTTCGTATCAATTACTGCCAAAGCTTAGACGCTAGCACAGAATCGAGAACGCTGAAGGCACTGTGACGCTGCAGCATCCGTGAATGGAAAGGATAAGCGTTCACTGAATCTGGCTTACTAGAAAAAATCTTGAAATTAATCAAGGAAATTCAATGGTGGAACGACTGTAGAATGAAATGGTAGATTCTGATGCATGACCGATATTTTGGGCAGAGAGAGAAAGAGGAAAAAGCACTGTCGGTATGGATCGTAATGAACAGTTACAAAATAGAATCATTCATAACATATTGTATTTGTCTCATTCTTATCCCCAACCTCCCCCCCCCTCAGGTTGACCGCTTTTAACATCGCGTTAGATTTCTTCTCATTTTGTGCCATAATACTGTAATGTGTGCGAAACGTCGGCCTAAATACACTTATTCAACTTGTCTTTTTGCCTTTCACTATTGGATTGGAAGACCTTATATTTCGAAAACTTCTTAATTCAGTTTCGGTCTTTAATTGGCTATGAGTTTTAGGAGCTGGATTCGTTCTTGCATGAGTCCGGTGCTCTGGATTCTCATGAAGTAATCTCATGCGTGTTTCTGCTTCTGAAACGATCCGCCAGGTCCGCCAGAACCGGATCGACATGGACTGCAGTACTTACTACAGTACTTTTTACTCATTTAAAACAGTAACAATGCGGTACAATACACACCTCTGTTTTTAATCATATATCACACACTCTCGAGTTACCAGATATTCAGTTCGCCTTCTCCGTTAGAAACTCAAGTTAAACCTGAGCATCAGTAACGTCAAA